TTGCTCATGAAAATTGCAAGATTTTGTTGAATGTTTCTCGTCCAATGATTTGGTTGCTGCAGTTGCATACACAAAACAGACATTACTTCTTCCATCTTCATTCCTTCTGTAAACTTTTATGATTGCATACAAAGAAGGAGAATATGCTATAACCCCAGTGCAGTTCAAAGGACTCAATTGGAAGGCATTCTTCCTAGAAAGGTTATGGGTGATTGTTTTGCAGAAAGCAGGATTACCCAGCTAACTTTAGCTGTTTTTGTTGCACAGATGCAAGTGGTTTTGGCCTCACGTGATTGATCACATGAGACATGTTATCTGATCAAGAAGATATTCTAAATCTGCATTATTAGTGGAAATCCCAACATGCACTTGATGATTTTTTTAATGGACTTACTGCCCTACTTTGCTGCCATTAGTTTCCTCCAACCTATTGTCACCTTTTCCTGAAGATATCTCTCAATGCCTTAGCTCCCAAGTCATCTCTGTTACATTTCTTTTCCAAAAGAAGATCAATATGAAATTCATTCATGGAGCACTGTTTGCTGTCTTTGCCTTGATAATCTTTCATCTACTCATCTGTTCTCCGTTGTCGCCTCACTGTTGGAGAAACGCTCGCCCAAGAACTAGAAATCAACCGAGGAGATTGCTTGGTTCTTTTGCTTCCGTTTCTGCAAATCTAAGCAAGTTGAGTGAAGCCATTCATGATCCTTTGGAGACAAGTCTTAGAAAAGCACCGCCGAGTGCTTCGAATCCCAACCAAAACAAGTGACTCCGGCGCTTGCCTACTGCGCCTAGAGATCCAAGGAAGAAAGAGAAGTGAAGTCCAATTCTCTTTCAACATTTTTGCAGTTTTCTTACTTTTACTGTATCTGCAACTCTTGTTTTGCGGTAGATGTAGGGCTGAGAGTAAACTTTTATTCACACCTGTGATATTTGTGCTACTCATTGTTTGTTTCCATTATTTTTTATTTTTCCTAGAAATTGCACCATTCTGAATTGAATCATCCTTCTCTTGAACTCACCAGTTTCTCTACATGTGATGCACAAAACAATATTTGGGTACTTTATTCTTTTGTTAATTTTTTTTTTAGTTAACATGGTCCATGGGGCAGATTATATAAAGACAACTAAACATGTTACCTTGTAATAATACTGATACAAGTCCTTCCAAGTAGAGACTAGAACAGAAAAAAGGGTAAATTACAATTTCATCATTGGAACTCTACTCTCTCTTATTTTGTTCATTGAACTTTAAAAGTTCTCAATTTTCTTATTGAACTTAATACATTAGGTTTTTCTGGTCACTGAACTTTTCTCTTTTTCATATTTTGGTCACTCCGTTGTTAAATAGTTAACGACGTTAAAAATGATACCATTAAAAAAAATTTCACCAAAACGATATCGTTTTGCATCTATAAAACATCTCATTTTAATGCCGTTAACTATTTAACGACCGAGTGACAAAAACCCAATGTATTAGTTCAGTGAAGAAATTGAACAAATTTAAAGTGCATTGAGTGAAATAAGAGTGAGAACAAAGTTTAATTACCGAATTTGTAATTTACACAAAACAAGATTAAAATGAAAAACATTTTGAGAAAATTTAGAAGACGAGTGACCAAACTCACTATTATGTTCTCGAGTAATTTTTTTAATAATTATGTTAAGAACTTGTTTTAAAAAATAATATAAAATTTTAACGTGCATAAAATTAAATTATCAATAAAAAATATATTTTTAACCTCTAATCCTTCTATGGCCGTTAGATTATACTTTGGGAACGTGGGATATACACAAACAACTGAGGTATTTCATGGACAGATATACTTACCATTATATAATAATTATTAAAATAGCATTAAGCATTCCAGATAATTATTAAAATAGATAAAAATTAATGTATAATATTTTAAATTTAATGATAGTTCTTATCTTATTTTTTTTTTTTGGATAATCAATTTCATTACCCAAGAAAGCAGAATTCTGCTACAAAAAAAAACCAACTCATTACAACACATCATCCATCTAGTAGCAAAGCATTACCAAAGAGAACAGATGCAAAACAAAGGCTAAACAAAGGCTAACAAGGAACAGAGAAACAACATCACAATTATGAAATACCCCAGCTAACACAAAGGGCAATGTTCCTAGAGTCACTTCTGTTAATTGGCCAACCATCGAGTCGAATCTGGATATCAGTTTTAATGCTCAGCAGGATATCACTCATCGGCCTAAGCAATCCACCATACAGTCTGTTGTTCCTTTCTCTCCATATGACATACACATAGCTTGTCAAAGCAAGCTTAAACACTCACGTGAGAAGGGACTTTCCTTTAAGGCAGTGAGCAGCCCATGAAAGCTCGCCTTCCCAGTGGCTTACTCTTCGGTTAACTCCACAGAGCAGAAGGATGGCCTTCCACAGGCTTTTAGCATAATCACATTCAAAGAAAATGTGATTTCTAGTCTCAGGCACCAAATCACAGAAGAGACATCGATCATTCTCTATTACTAGTCCCATTTGCATCAGTCTAACCCGGGTGGGAAGCCTATCCAAAATGGCCATCCACAGAATTATGTTGTGCTTAGGGATGTGCCCGGAAAACCAAACCAGATGATGCCAAGCAACCTTTGGAGCCACGATGCGCAAGTCCTCCCATATCTGCCTAGTACTGAGGGCACAATCACGGTTAATAAAGAGATGATTAACCGAATGTCTCATCTTTAACAGCTTTTTGAAATTCCAGCTAGCATCAGTAGGAGGAACCATATGCCAAAAATCTGCATTTTTAATGTAGATTTTAAAAAACACAATAATTCTATGAATTTCTTGAAATATATTAAAGAATTAATTGTATAATTTAAATATTTTTTTAAAAGTGATTGATTTTAAAAACTTAGTTAAAGTCTCATTTGTCAAAACTCAAAAAATCTATGCTTGAATATTATATTATATTAGGACTTGCATTTATTTTGTTTATTTACAAATAGGGGACATCATAAATCTTTAAAAGGGCCCATAAAAGAACCCTAATTAAAAGATGAAAATTAGAAACCCTCTAAATCTAAAAGTCTACGACAATATTAATATACAATAAAAAATATACTATTAAAAATGTTATTTTTTTAATATTTTCAGTCCTATTTAAAATATTATTTTTTTACTAAAAATATTATTTTTACTAATTAATTTTTAATAGAACCCAATATTAATATTTTCAGTAAAATAATGTTTTAAATATAATTTTACCAAAAATGTTAAATATTTTATGTAGCATTTAATATTAATATTTTTGATAAAAAAAAAAAATTTTAAATAATACTTTATTAAAAAATTTAAAAAATAATAATATTTTCGTATTTCTTTATTCGTATATTAACCCGTCCCAAATTACAATCAAAGAAAAAATCGAGAGAACTCTTTCCAACGCCGACGCCAGTCGCACATTCGCCGTCTGTCCATCTAATCCTTGACTGGCGGCCACATCTACGAACGTTTCTCGCCGGTATTACTCGCTTTCACTCTGAGTTGCAGCCATGTATGGAGGGGGTGAGTAGTTAGAAAATTTATCCTCATTAGGCATTGTGTGTGTTTGTTGTTCTAAGCCTTCCAAAATTCCAATGACAGAAATGTATAAAAAGTAAAAGTCATGGATATTATTAAAAAGGTATTAAAAAGAAGATATAGATGTTACACTCTATGGATGTGACCTGCATTACTCGGCTACCCTGGTCTTAAGTCTCCATAATTTCCTATTAGAGGTCATGTCCTCAGTAAGAGCTAAATCCTTCAAATCAGATATCAAGTAGTCTTCCCACTTCCGCCTTGTCGTCATCTCCTTCTGGCACCGTCGACTGTAATCGACTCTACCCTCCTGACCGCATCTGACGGTTGTCGCCTAAGGACATGCCCAAACCACCGTAGTCTTCCATCTCTCAATTTTTCGGATACATGCACCACCCCCAAGGACATCCTAATAGTAGAGTTTGGTGTCATGTCCTACAGAGTCCTACCACATGCCTATCGAAACATTCTCATTTCTGCGACATTCATCCTCCTTACGTGATCCTTTTTGATTGCCCAACATTCTGATCCATATAGCAGCGCTGGTCTTATTGTCATTCTATAAAATTTTTCCTTAAGTTTTAGAGGCACCTTCTTGTCATACAAAACTCCAGTAGCAGCCCTCCACTTTAGCCATTCCGTGTTTATACGGTATGTAACGTCATCATCTACACTCTCATCTTTATGTATCATAGACCCTAGGTACTTGAAACAATCCTTTGAGGGGAGAACGTATCCTTCTATGCATACTTCTACATATTTATCGTTTTGGTTCCAACTGAAGTTTGAACATAAATACTCTGTCTTTTCAATATTGATCCTTAGACCTTTTTCTTCCAAAGCAATCTTCCAGGTAGCCAGTCTACTATTCAGCTCAGTTTTTGTTTCAGCAACTAGGACAATGTCGTCAGCGAAAAGCATACACCATGGAACACCGTCTGGTGTCGCACAATAGATGTCGTTCATAATAAAGGCGAAGATGTAAGGGCTAAGAGCCGACCCCTGGTGGAATCCGATTTCCACCGGGAATGCCTCGATGTCGCCAACTGCAGTCCTGACGTATGTAGTAGATATACAGTACATATCACGAATCACCCGGATATTAGTTGACAGCTGCTTGCATTGTTCATGTGGTGTCTACCCTAAAGAATGGGGTTGTTGTTGATGGGGACATTGTTGATAACATCTGGGATCATGCTTTCAAGGATTGTTTACTTATTGATCCTAAGGAACATCCGATGCTACTTGCTGAACATTCATCCAACACTCAACTACAGAGGGAGAAGTCAGAATTTCCAAGTCCTCGAGCTTAGTTAATTTTCTTTCCTTTTTTCTTTCTCCAATCTGAAAGCCTGCTGTTTGGTTTTGTTAAAATCTAACAGGACAGCGGAACTCATGTTTGAAAAGTACAAAGTTCCTGCTCTGTTTTTGACCAAGAATGCGGCATTACCATTTTCCTCATTTCCAAATATTACTGTCGGTTCTTACATCATTTGCATCAGGACGTGCTACCTCTGTTGTTATTGATTGGTATGATTCATATTCTTAAATTTTCCTGTAATCAGAGAGTGGTTCTAATACATTGTGGAAACAGAGACAAAAGCAATGCTCTCTGTTGTTTCTTTGATGAAAGAACAGTACATATATAGCCTGGAGAGGCTTTTGGGTTCAGACCTAAGGCCGGAATCCATCCGTTAAATCAAGTTTTCGTTGCTTTTTTTACTTACATTTTTTACGTATAACTATTAATTTCTTTAGTGGTGGAGGATCAACTATGGTTGCCCCAGTACATGGCGGTTATGTTCTTCAAAAGGTATTTCCCCCCCCTCTCCCTCTCTCCCCCTTTCTGTCTACTTTACCTGTCAAGTAGGCTTTCCCCCAAAAGATTATTCTATGTTGAGTTGCTCTGGAAAGGAATACAAAAATTTAGTTGTATATAGAGAGCTTTTTCTGGTCAAATTTCTGATCTTGTGACTGGAGTTGACAATATGTTAGCAGCTATGATAAGTTGCAAATTCTTACTGTTAAAAATTTTATAACTGAGGCCGAATATGTACCTTGGCTTTATTAGTTGATTGTTTCACTCTTCATTTTCTTATGCCAAGTAATGATTTGCTGGGAAAGCAAAATTGTGCAATTATCATAATTTTTTATACTGAAAATGAACTTCCTGTTGGCATAGTTGTAAAAAGCGCGTCTGAGGCGCAAAAGCGCAGAGGCTCACTGAACGAGGCTTTTTCAACACTGAAGCGAGACACGTAGCCTAGGCGCTGAGGCGCGAGGCTCAGTCGAGGCGCAATTGACGCGCGATGTGGGCTTAAAACCTTGTAATTACAACTGAACAATCGATGCTTCTTATCAATTCTTCAAGCGATCGTCAAAGACAACGCGAACCCACGGTCAAGATCGAACAACACCGATGACAAAGAAAATGAACGAGGGAAAAGGAGGTTCTTCAATATAAATTAAGGGGGGAAATTCTAAAAGAAGAAGAAGAAGAGAGCTTGGGAATCTGAATTTGGTGGTTTTGTGTAATCTTCCTTTTGGGTTGTGTTTCTCGTACAAAAAAATCGCGATGCGAGCTGAACATGGAGAGGACTATGAGGCTTTTTATTTTCAAAAACTTTCACCCCAAGTGAAAAGACGAAGAAGAGACCCCAGAAACGGTGATTCCTTAATTATTTTTTAACTTTAATTTGAATTAATTTAAGTTTAAACACACAAATATTCCTCTAAATTTTTTACCATTTCTTTTACATTTTATTCTTTCTACGCGTCTATCAATGTTGACTTTAGTTTGTTTTATTTATTTATTTAATCGTTCCTTTATAAAATTATTTATTTTTTAGTATGTGAAATATAATCGAGCATTAAAGCGGCGTTATAATTTAGTCTATGTGAAATATAATCGAGCGTTAAAGCGGCGTTATAATCATCGTGATGTCATTGATCCAATCTCTTTGGATGACATTGATGAAAGTAACGAATGGTTGCTTGGTAAAATGGATGAGGATGAAGAAGAAATTGAAGATTATGTGTTTGATGATGACGATTTGACATGGAAGAATGTTGCTATAGCTTCCGGAGCTTATGAGCGTGACCATAATACTAGAAGAAAGAATATTGCTAGTTCAAGCTCGAAAGGAAAGGAAAAAGCTAGACCCTCCTTATAGATGAAGATGATGAAGTTGTTATGCTAGATGAGGGTGACACTGAAAAAGAAGACATTGGAGATTGTGAGACGGATGAGGAGAAAGATGATGACATACCACTTCACGATGATAATGAGGATGAGTTTGATGATTATTATCAATGACTTTATTTGATGTTTTGTTTATGCATGTTGGATGTTTTTGTTAAACTTAGTACTTGATTATGCTTGTTGATAGCTTTTATGACGATAGGTTAGTATTTTGAATCTGAGAATGAACTCTATTGAACCCTAATATTGGGTATATATGATATTTGAATTTGATTGCATTAATATATACATGTATTATAATTTTTTGAATATCATGTGTCTCGCCTTCGTGAATCTCGCGGCTTTCATACGCCTCGCGACTCAAGGCTCTAGGACACTTTACCCCTCGATGCGCCTTGACCCTTTGATAACTTTGCCTGTTGGATAAATTCTATTTCTGTGAGATCTTTAACCTTTTGATTGATTGCTTTAACTTTTTTTTTTAAATCTCACTTGCCTTTACCTGAATGATCTGTCTTTTTGTCTTAACCTTTCCCTTGTTACCATTTTTTTTATTGCAATAAACAGGCAGTGTCTTCTTCTCCTATTGGAGGAGAATTTCTTACTGATTGCTTGATGAAAAGCTTGGAAAGCAAAGGCATCGTGGTAAGTGATGGTGGTATTAAGTAATTGATGAGAACTCCCGTGTCAGTCCTCATTGCTTCAATTTATACTGTTCTCTTTCCTTATGTCTGTAGATAAAACCAAGGTACTCTTTTAAGAGAAAGGAAATACAACCTGGGGTGTTTCAGGTATTTTATAATATACTGGAACCCATTTAAGGTCTATGCCATTAGTTGCTTTTGTTTTTTGAATTTCATACACACATGTCATCTCAAGTTCAACTTCTTTGGCAACAGTCACTGGCAACCCTAATGAAATTAGACAAAAACCTGTTCATCCTTTTTCTTTGATAACACTGTTGCACAAAACCCATTTAAGGTTCATGATCAGTTTTGAGACTCATTTTGAAATCCTTGATACTGCTCAAATGTGGCAAGGGGTAGATTGCATCACTCCCTGCTTTCTGTGCGATGTTGACATATGCAAACCAGAGAACTGAAAAATAAGAAAAATAAAATGATGTTAGGGCAATTTGAATATTAACAGTCACCGAGGAATAGTTAAAAATTTGAACATTGATTAAAATTCCCTTTCCTATCTTTTCTTATGGTATGGGGTGAGGCGGAATCCCTTATTTAAATATATGCCATATAGTATAAATTAAATCTTAATAAAAGAGGAAGCAAACGAACTGCAATGTACTCTAATGGAAATTTACTCCTGCTGCTGTTTCACTTTTTCTTGTTCCTATTAGTTTCTAGTAAATAACCTACATTGCTTTCTGAAAATTCCCTTTACTTTTGTTTTGGGAATTTCAGACTGTAGATGTTGATTTGCCACACACAACAGAATCCTACAAGCTTTATTCCCAGGTTTGTTTTTAATCATTGTTATCCCTTTCCAAACTGACATTTTCGTTCCTGTAATACCTTTGTATCTTCTTACAACAGAGAGTGATTGCAGGCGATATCAAGGAATGTGTCTGTCGAGCTCCAGATACTCCATATGATGGTTTGTATTTGTTCGCCATCTTCTTTTCTTTAGAAGTCATGCCACTTCATGCTTTTATTCCTATTTTATGTTTGTATGTTATGTATGTTTTTAATCATAGAAGCTGCCTTCAATAATATATCAAAGATCCTTTTCCGCTATAGCTGGAATGCTTCCTATGATATTATGCTTTTTAAAAAATTTCTTTCCTGTGAAGTTGATGTTAATTTGATTTTACAGCTTTATGATTTGCTTCACTTGCAGAAAGTTCATATTCAAATATCCCAATGACCCCATATGAGCTTCCTGATGGCCAGTGAGTTCCTTACTAGTTTATTAGCACCGATTTGTTATCATAATTTGGTTGCTTTTGTTCCTTGGATCTCAATTTCTGTTGCTACTAATATTAATTGATCTTGCATTTTCTTTTATGTTAATTCAGGACAACTGAATTTGGTGGTGATAGACTCAAGATCCCTGATATTCTGTTTAACCCATCTTTGGCTCAGGTAGGAGTTCTTCAAACTTTGGGGATCTTGATTTCATTTTTTCAATGTTTTTTGTGCACCTGCAGTCTCTTTTTCCTTGAAATTTATTTGTATCCAAGTTCTGTTGGGGGGCATTATCCAGTGTGAAACGTGATTAGAGAAAAACAAGAGATGGAAGAAATTTGGGGAATAGAGGGATTCGGAAAGAAATAGAATAATCAGGAGAGAACAGCAAAATGATCCTAGGTTAGAGAAATCAGAATTCAACCAAAATCTTTATGATTTAATGATACCAGAAATTGAACCTCAAATCCTTATTGAGATGTCAAACATCAGTGCGACTCTAATGCTCTAATGCTTAGAAAACAATTGTAGCACTAAAAATGCAAATAGCGAGCATAAAAAACAAGAAAGCTTGTATCTAGATTCTTACAAAATAAACTCATAAAACGTAGTAAATTAACAAAAACAAAATCTTAAGGACCTTATTCCATAAGCACTTCTTTCCAACATGCTTCATCAGCATGTTTCTTGTCAATAGATGATCTTTTGAACATTCTTCAGTATGCAACATTTTGTCCTGAAGAGATATGCATTCTGCATTTTTTAATGACACTGATAAAATATACATGGCCTTTTTTTTTATATAAGAATGAAGATTTATTAAAATCAAGAGTCGGAGTTCAACTTATGAGCCTCGTTAAAAACCTCCCTACTCTAATTGGAGGAAAATAGTACTACATAAGAGAACAAAACAGACCAAAAACGAAAGCCAGGCAAACAAAGATCACCATCACCTAATAAAAGGCAACTCAAGAGCAAAAAGCACTACCGACCAAAATAATCAAAAACTGCAACCATCTAAAAAAACAGCATAACAATTTCAACCGAAAAAGCTTCCTCGACAAGCATCAACACATGCAGAGACAGCAAAAGCGAACAGAGACAGCAAAGGCGTTTCCAAAAGCTCCAGAGCGAACAACCATAGAAAAATCTCGATAAAGAAACTGCTACCGTACTAAATACAAGATGCAACCAGCACTAAGCTCAATTAAAAGCCCCCAACCTTGAAGAGAGTACGTTCTCAACAAACCAACAATCACCAACCAGTCGACCATTCCACCATCATGCCTCCACAGATAGGACCAAAACTTAATATAAGGCATCCTCCTACGCAAGAAAAAATCTCAGAACAGCACACCCATCAGCTGATATTGCACTGAAAAAGCTCAAGGAAAAGCCTATATAACCACCATATAAGAAATGCAGAACAATAACTCAACGATATCATGAACCGGCCCTAATTCGTTCTTAACTTAGCAAAGACCAAAAAACACTTCTCTGATAGAAAAGTATATTCCAAGACCCCCTTAGTCAATTCAATTTGATCAAACTTTTGCCTCCACAGAATCACCTACAAACCTAAAATACTCCCACCATACCATAATACCATCTTTCAATCCTAAAAAACCACTAGTATCAACAAATCTAGGACATCCTCACTCAACCTTCCTCATGAACAGAAATCCTTGATAACGGCACTCTAACCTTAGAAAAAGAGAACCCACCATAAACGCCTCAGAAGCCAAGAAAACGAACTCATGGACATACCAAGAAAACTCCCAACTACGTTCCCAACAAAAGCAGCCAATCTAGAATCTTAATCTCACACCAGCACCAACTAAAAAATCACTGTAGACGACTTACACGCTTTAGAAAACTTAAATTCTCCCGAATCCTAAACCCCCACTACAAGGCGAAACAGATTCACAAAAAACCCTTTAAATAACCTACTCCAGGACCTCCAAAAAACCACGACAGGGACCTCAAATTTCAAATGCAAAAAACCTTACGCCTGCCCTACAACTCCCTCACTACCCTCAACACAATTCTAACGACACTAACTCCTCAAGAACCTTCCTTTCTGGACCAGCAAACGTAAAACCAAGCATCTTCACTACTGACAGAGTCTCCTCCGCTTCAACATAGGCAGCAGCCCACCTATTCTTTAAATCCGAATCTGAAAGAGATCTACCTGATAATTCAGAGGATACTAGAACAGACTTCTTCAACTTGGATCTCTTCTTCTCCTCTCAGCTTTCGAGAGTACTTTGTCCTGAATATCCAAAAGAGAGCCGAATTTCTTCATCTTCTTTTTTTTCCTAATGGACTGATCTTGCAAGAGCGACACATCTTCGGAAACTCCCCCTACACGCACATTTTCAGATTCCTTAAATATAATTGAATTACCTTTTTCATTAGAGTTCACTGTACCCAAGTTAATACCACCACACGTTCCCCCTAAATATACATGGTCTTAAACTTGTTCTTCAGCTTATTTTGGATTTGTCTAATGTACATGGCCTTAAAATTTTTATGTTCATATTATTTCTGGTTTTCTTTCTTTTACTAGACAATTCCTGGAGTGGACAATTTTTCTGAGATTTCATCTTCTCGTGGCTTGCCACAAGTGGCATGCTAGTTTATTTCATGCTTTTTTCCTTTAAATCAACCTCTTATATTTTACAAGGATTACTTAATTAAGCTTTCCCCACCCCCCCTATTTTTGCAGGTCATAGAAAGCATCAATAGATGTGACGTTGACAACAGGAAAGAATTGTTTGGCAGTATATTGGTAAGTCAGCCACACCCAAGCAAACCTGTCCTTAAGTGTCCTGATAATTTTTTCATCTTGAATTTTTTTTTTCAAATATCATTTCCAGAACAAGTAGCTTATTTGACTGGATAAAATGTGCATTAATAATTCAATTGATAAACATGTATAATCTTTTAAGGCGTGGATATTTGTGCATGACTGATATTATCACTTCTGCTATTCATTCATATTGCAGCTTGCTGGTGGCACAGCATCTATGCAACAGTTGAAAGAACGACTTGGGAAAGACTTGCTGGAGGTATTCTTGTTTGTTTTCCATTCCTGCACAAGTTTTTTTTGTCTCCTTTTGATCCTATAGCTTGATTTCATGTTGTTAAATTTATATTTTTTTCTGTAATAGTAGTTGTTGATGGTCTGACATAATCCTTGAAAAATGATTTCTTATCACCATAGTTTCTTCCGTCATAGTTCTGCATGTTGGTAGAAAATTTTCTTAGCAAAATAACTCTACCATTGTCTGATAATATGAAGGAATCTCCTCAAGCTGCTAGAGTTAAAGTATCGGCAAGTGGAAATGCAACAGAAAGAAGATTCAGGTTCGTTGTGGTTTGATTTCATTTTTTTGGTTCAACGTCTTATTCTTTTTTGCTTGGCAATTTCTATTCTTTTCTGGTCCTGAGAAATGCTCTCTTTTTTGAGCCATCGTCAATATTCTTTGTTTCTATATTTATGCTTTCATTTGTGTGAACCCACTTCTCTCGAATTCTCTAATGCTTCCGGACTTGGATTTCAGAATTTGGATTTGTATGTCATCTGCTATTTAAATTATAAAGAATGAAATGTATACATTAGTGATAGTTAAGATTCAATATAATATATAGTTGAATAGTATAAAAACATGGATTTATCAAATCCAAATTCATATCAGTGATATAGGCATCGAACAAGTCCGTGGATTTGAGAATTAATGATGAATGCTGCATTTTTTTAGCATTTTATCACTCTATTTACACTATCTTTTGAAATCCAAGTTCGCAAACATTACTTAAATTCTTTTGCGCATGCCAGGTAAATATGTTGTTAACTAATGATTGTCGCATATGCTGTAGTACACATAATTACTTAAGCTTATAGATTAAGGAAAGTAGCATGGAAACCTCAAAGGGAAAATATAGAATTCATGAACCTATAAGATGAATGATTAAATTCCATAATGATTTACCTTCTATTGATTAAGATTACCAAAGTCAATCCATTCATAACAAGACCAAAAGAACTTATTACCTTTTCTAGTTTGCCATTTTTTATCATAAGATTGTGTAAAGTTCTTGTAAGATTTTTTGTTTTACTTGCATTAAATGTTCTGCCTATATGTATGAAACAGTGTTTGTATAGGAGGTAGTATATTGGCATCTCTTGGTTCATTCCAGCAAATGTGGTTCTCCAAGTCTGAGTAAGCATCATGTTTCCCTTTCCATATTGCGATCTCGATGTTATAAACAGAACATCAGTAGCAGTAACCATATAGTAGGTTATAGTAAATTACTTAATTTGAAATGCATGCGTCTGACAGGTATGAAGAAGATGGAGCTTCATACATCCAAAGAAAATGCCCTTAAGATGAAGAAGATGATAGGCATTTGCATTTATTGACATGGTAAGCAAATGCTAAGCCATTCACATAAACTTTTGTTTCTCCATTTTGCCACTGGAGCCCATTTTCATTTTTTCTAGGTTAAGGATCTACTTCTGTTGGACCCAAAATCGTCCCATTCGTGCTAACTAACTATTCCCCGATTGATATCGGTCAATGTAAGATATTCTATTTACAAGACTATGATGTTTATTATCATCCTAGATGGTGCAGCATTCATGGCTATAAGGAAAGATGATTTTTTCTTCTTCTTTGTTCCAAATTCGAGCTATGTTAATTTATCTAGTTTAAGTTGCCAGTTTTCTGGTGTTGTTTAATATCTTTGTTAAAATATGATTGCAAAGTATGCTGAAGATGTTAACTTTTATCGTAGCATTCTGAAACACTAATGATTAGATTTTGTTACACTAATGTGGATAAAAGATATTTTTATATAAAAAAGTGGAGTTATTAATTACATGGGTTTTATTTTTTGCACATGAATGTAGGATGATTTATAAACATTATTGGAGTGGCAATAAGGGATGGGAGGTTAATTATAAAAATATTTTATAAACATTTATTTTCTGTATCATACTATATTTTCAACAATAAAATTTGTTATTTTAAATCTTAGTTAAGTTTGATCTACAATAATACAAATCAAATTACCTCAATAGTTAAAAGAATAATTATTATTTTTAGAGGTCTTAGATTCGAACATCCACAAAAAATAGGTAAATCAATCGATTTCAAAGTCCACCCTTCCCTTTATATGGGAGTAGCAGAGCTTCAAGCAGCGAAATATATCTTCGAAAAAGTAGTAAACCACAACATCAACTAAACAATGTTGAAGCCACAACAGATTCATGGTTCTCATTCAATCAGAAGCTTACTTCCTTTCCCAAACCAGTTCTTCCATGATTTCTCTACCCAGCTTTTCTCCCACTCCATAACTCAAAGATGGATCAAACACGTAAAAATGTTAAACTTGGGTCCCACCCCACTCCTGTTAAAGCAGCTCTAACCAACACTACTGAGAAACATGTTTCTGTCAAGGCTACTGTCATTGCAAAGCAAACCGTCACTAGTTTTTATCAAAAACAAAGGCATTCAACAAGGCCTCGATGAAATCCAAGATTTGCTGGGCAAAACACTGCTGTTGGAGATTGTTAGTGCCCACCTTGATCCTAGTAAGTAAACCAAGACAACCCTTTTTTTGTTTGTGTTTTTTGGGATGATGAAATCTTTTCCTTCTCAAGTTGCTTATGAGACTTTGCAGAGACTGGATTAGAGAAGAATAGAATTAAAGGGTATGCACATCGTGTAAGCAAGGATGGGAGCAATGTTAAGTATGAAGCCGAGTTTGAAATCCCTGCAGATTTCGGTGAGATCGGTGCTGTTGTTGTGAAAACGAGCATCATAATGAAATGTTTATCGAGGACATGGTGTTTGATGGTGTGCCAAATGGAGCTGTTAGCGTCAGCTGTAAATCTTGGGTTCATTCCAAGTTTGATAATCCTCGAAACAGAGTATTCTTCACCAACAAGGTCAAGATTTTTACTCTTTTTTCTTAGTTCATATATATATATATATATATCACCATTGACATTGTTTTTAAAAGCTTGAAAACTCTCTATTGGAGCAGTCGTATTTGCCATCCGAGACACCAAGTGGATTGAGGAAACTTAGAGAACATGAGCTCTTGAATTTACAAGGAGAGGGCAAGGAGATCGTAAATCCTTCTAAAGGATTTATGATTACGACGACATTGACACCGATCCAAACAAGAAACGAATCGGTTCTTGGCGGCAAAGACTTCCCATATCCTCGCCGTTGTCGAACTGACGTCCTCGTTGCCGTACAGGTAAGATAACCAACAACACAACTTTAACAAGTCTGTATTAAAAACATAACCTGAACTATAAGGATTCATAAAATGGTTTTAATGCAGATCCGAGTTACGAGAAATGGGAAGCCGGTTTCTATGTGTCGAGGGACGAAGCATTCTCGGAGGTGAAGCAGCTGACTTTCTCCACAAATTTCATGCACTCGATGTTGACGACAATAATACCGTGGCTCAAAGCTACGATCCTCGACCCTGATCTCGGATTTCCAACCTTCAACGCCATTGACGAGCTTTACACTCAAGGGCTTAACTTGCCAGCCCTTGATAAGAAAGAGCTTTGGAATCAGTCATCCCTAGGCTTATCAAGAACGTCTCCAACAAAGCTCACAGTATTTTGCGCTTCGAGACGCCTGAAACACTGGACAGCAACTTCTATCGCAACATAACGTCATGATCATTATTTTATATGAAACACTCATTTTATTGTGTGGTTTGGCCTTTGCAGTAGACAAATTCTTTTGGTTGAGGGATGAGGAATTTTCTAGGCAAACTCTTGTTGGACTTGACCCTCTTAGTATAAAACTTGTGACGGTAGTAAGGGGGCACAGATTGTACTTGTTATGATTCTTTTCTGTGTATAGTTTGGAGTTTTTTTGTTTAACTCGTCGTTGTTGGTTATAGGAATGACCATTGAAGAGCAGGCTCGACCCTGAGATCTACATTCCTGCAGAATCCGCAATCACCACCGACATTATTCAACAAGAAATCAATGAAGTCATGACGGTCCATAACGTAATTTGAATTACATGTTTTTAGATGCATTGCGTTTATTGTATTTGTGGATATAACATTGTAATTTTTCTTTAATGTCCATTTATGCAGGCGATATATAAAAAGAGTTTATTCATCCTTAATTACCATGACTTTGTTACAACTCAAGAGAAGAGAGGATTAATCTAGAGAAAGAAAAGAATGAAGGAATAGAGAAACTGAGAAGTTCATTCATTCTAGTCATGAGGAAATTGCCTCAGCATCCAGGTATTATTTAGTTACAAATTGTACTGAGAATCTAAGGATGCCAGGTGGTTGTCCTTTACTAACTAACTCTATCTTTTCTTCTCTTTTGCAGGTACTGGGCTTCTGGATTTGGGCTTCTCCAACTCAGCCGAGTAAGTTAATATTCACTTGCAATTCACGTGACTTGTAAATTTCCCAATTCATTCCCTTCAATCCCTAACATTCGCTCTTCAATTCCCAATTCTTTCTCGTTTCCTCGTCTTCCTTCGTCTCCTACTGTGACAATACCCGCCCCTTGAGACGATCCTTATCCCCAAGGATCGAATGCTGGAAATTGGCCATTGAGAACCGAAAAATCTTCCAAGTTCTCCCATTGAACTAAAAGCTGAGTTACCGGTTTGTTGTTACGATTAACAATACGCCTGCCCATTATCTTCAAGGGTTGGATTTTTAACTGACCATCTTCATCTACTGCAGGAAGATCGGTTGTAGAGGTCGATGATTCCCCAATGCGTTTCTTCAGTAGGCTAACATGGAATATGGGGTGCAGTCGTGATGTCTCTGGTAAGTCCAAACGATATGCAACTTCTCCTTTTTTTTGACAATCTTTTATGGGCCATAATACTTGGATGCCAACTTCAGATTTTTTCGCAAGGCGAGTGAAGTTTGTATGTAAGGTTGTAAATTGAGGTAAACCTCGTCCCTAATTTCAAATACTCTCTCTGATATTTTCTTGTCTGCATGTTGCTTCATTATATTGCTAGCCAATTCCAACTGATGTTTAACTAGTTGTCGAATTTCCTCTCTGTTGTTCATCATTTCATTCACAATTTGTACTTGAGAGTTTGTATGACATACTATAATTGGGGGTTTGTAGCCATATAGGGCTTAGAAAAGAGTACGTCGTAGGGCGGTGTGGTAGGTGGTGTTTTACCACCACTTGACATGGGGTAACCATTTAGCCCATTGTTTAGGTTGCAAAAAACAGAGTCGTCGGAGATACTGCTCCAAACATTGATTGACCCTCTCTGTTTGACAATCTATTTTGTATGGTAAGCAGTACTAAACAGGGTTCTAATACCTAGTTATTTCATCAGTTCCCTCTAAAAGACACTAGTAAATCTTATCCCTGTCTGAAATGGCCATTTTGGGCTGACCATGTAGTTTATAGACATTGTCTAGATATAATTTAGCTACCTCAGCTGCAGAATAAGGTTGAGACAATGCCGAGAAATAATTGTATTTGGTGAATTTGTCCACTACTACTAGGATGCAAATTTTCTTTAGGGATGTAGGTAGACCCTCTATAAAATCCATTGTAATGATTTCCCAGGCTTGGTTAGGAATAGGCAGGGGCTGTAGTAAGACAGGCTTTGCTATATGTTCCACCTTAGTTTGCTGACAAACTGCACAACACTTCACATAAGTAGCCACTATAGCCTTAAGTCTAGGCCAATAAAAATTAGATTTTATCATGTGATATGTAGTTTGTTCTCCTGAATGACCTCCATGTGGAGAATCATGCAAGGTTTGAAGAATCTGTAGTCTAAGACTTCCATCAGTCCCAATATACACCCTTCCATTGTATCTGAGGATATCCTTTGAATATTTCCATCTAATGTCAGCGGTAGGACTGACAGATAGGATTGGAATCCATTCTTTAGCTAGTTTATCCTCCTTGTATCTGTATTCTACCTCCTGAACTCAGCTAGGTATTAATAATGTCACTCCCATAGCAAAGCATTGAGCTTGATCTTCCCACTGCCTAGATAAAGGATCTATAACCACATTAGATTTTCCTTTTTGTACTGAATAGTATAGTCCAGTCCCAGCAGTTTGGTCAACTATTTTTTCTAAATAGTGGTAGTCAACTTTTTCTCTAAAAGATACTTCAAGGGTTCATGGCCATTCTTAATAACAAAAGGTTTGCTTTCCAGATAATGTCTCCACTTGGAAACTGCTAATAGTATAGCAAGGTATTCACGTTCATATATGGAAAGGGTAGAGTGTCGAGGGCTGAGAGCCTTACTAATAGGCAATAGGTCGACCATCTTGTAAGAGTACAACGCCTATTCCCCCAGAACTAGCATCCGTTTCTAAACAGAAACTCTTAGGAAAATCTGGTAATGCTAAGACAGGAGCAGAACATAACTTTTTTAAGGTCTTCAAAGGCAGTAAAAGCTTTAGAACTCCATTTAAAATAGCCATTCTTTAGTAGTTGTGTCAAAGGTCTGCTAATAACTCCATAGTTTCTAATAAATCTTCGGTAGTACCCTGTTAAACCCAGAAACTCGTGTAGAGACATAAGGGTTTTAAGCATAGGCCAAGTCTGCATTGCTTCCACTTTGCTAGGGTCAGTAGCCACCCTTGCAGCTAAAATGATGTGGCGTAAGTACTCCACCTAAGTTTTCC